AAGCAAAGAGGACTAACTCCTGTCTTCCCTCACTGAAACAGCCTCTCCACATCTAAACTTCCAGACTCAAGGGGTTCCCAAAAGATCCAAGGAATCCGAGACAAGATGGGTTAGGTGATAGAGAAGGAAGCTATAGGCTGGCTGGAACATAAATAGCATCAAGGAGAGTAATTGGCAGAAGCCTAGTGGGGAAAGTGGGCCAGATGCCAGGACTCTGAGGGCTCCAGGGTTCAAGCTCCATGGTAATCCGAGAACCTGGAATAGGCCTAAGAGGAGGAGGTTCATCCTCAGTCCTGATTTAAGAATTCCCACTACCACAGATGTGGCTGTTCACGCAGCCTTCCTCACTTCCTGTCAAGTCGGCCAGCTGGAGGGGGCTGTTCTATAACTGTTGATCCTTCATCCCTCTCTGGCTGGGCTACCAAGCCAGAGGCAAGGGAAGTGATGCCACCTTTTCTAGCAATTCTTGTAAACAGATCAAGAGCACTAGTTTTTTTTGAAAACAGCCTGGGTCTCATAAAGGTTCATCTGTTTCTTTTTTTACTTTAATGGCATGTAGTACAGGTTGTAAGAAAGGAGGCTTTTTAAAGGGAAAAGTCCCTCATGATCTCTCTCTCCTTTTCATGCAGCCTAGTAAAACCTGTTTCTCCTCCCCTGGGAATGTAGGACCAGGAAAGAGGTAGCTCCCCTGAGAATGCTGCCTGAAGGAGCCAGTTCCTGGATTGCATAACTGGGATGTTGAGTTTATTTATTCTTTAATAATTCCCCCACCCCACCTTTAGGTAGCAGTTGTCAAGGCTACTCTGGGAAAACAGGGCTCCATTTTTTCTCCTGATTGTGATCAAAAGTCATGCTAAATTACCTCATGTAGAAGCCCTAAAGGTCCCCACAAGCCAGTAAGTCAGCTCTTCACCAAGCCACTTTTGGTCCTCCCCAAGGGCCATCCATTTTGGTAATTCAAAGGTCTCATAACCTTCCTGGGGGCTTGGAAGGCAGTATCATCTCTTATCTCAGCTAAGAGACCCTGCTACAAGATATCCTGGCCCCATCACCTTTCTTAGAATTCACTTTCCAGGCAGGCAGTACTCTGCACAGTGTTCATCTGCCAACCTAAGCCAATCCAGCTCCAATCCCTCCTCAGCAACTCTCCCCTCTGGCCAGCAAGCTGCCAGTCCCCACAGCCTCCAACAGGGGTGACTTCTAATTTCCAAAATAACAAATTAAACTAGTATGCTCTCTCCAACTCAAGAGTTATTTCTCACTTGACTGAGACAGCCAAGAGGATCAGCCCTCCCTGTACAGAAGACAGAGTACACATGTCCTGGGCTCTTCGGGAGAGCTTGTGAACCTCGGCAACCTCAGGGGCAGGAAGTGCCCTCCCCCAGGGTAGGCAAGGAAGGCCTGCAGGGAATGTGTACCTTGGAAATGAGTTCATCATGATTGGCCAAGTGGGCTCTGCAGTGAATGCAGCTGTAGGTCCGGTGGCAGGAGGGCAGATACGCCTGGAAAGTCTTGGATCTTGTCATCTTCACCATTGGCGCTGTTGAACGTGGGGTGAACTCTGGGGCAGCCCACGAGGCACTCCCACAGGACGGGTCGCACGGGAAACACCGGAAGACACAGGTAAAGGCCGTGGTTTGGCAGGGGGTGGGTGTGGGGCAGGCTCCACACACTGGTGATGTCTTCAGAGGAAGGACCCTCAAGTAGAGGTCTACGGCTGGTTCTCAGCAGCTGCAGTGCCAAGATAAGGGGAATATCATTAACTGATGGAGCTGGGCTTCCTGCAAAGCAAGTAGAGTCCAACTGCCACCAAGAGGGCAGCATTTACAGGATAAAATGACCCCCTTTTCTGTTCCTTACACTGTGTCAAGATGCCCAATGAAGAAGAAAGAAACCACCGGAGATCCCAGTATTGCTGATTTTCTAGAGTTAAAGGTTCAGGATCAACTCAGGGCTCTCAGTAGTCCCTGGGTACCCTCCACCGACATTCAGCAAACTGGCATGATCGCCATTCCTAATAAGCCCCAGAAAAGGACAGGCTTAAAGATACACTACCTATAATCCCCTAGGATAGGATTCCTGAGGTTCCCCGCCCCCTTTTCCTGAGCCAAATAAGATAAATGGCTAAAGAAAAAGGAAATTCAGCCTCTAGAGAGTCACTACATCTACAGTCACATATGGATTTCTCATCCATTTCCAGATGCCGGAATCCTCCAACACTTGAAACCCCCACCTGCAGAGACAATAACCCCCACACCACCCTTTGCTTATGGACTAAGTATGAGACACAAAGGATGAAGTTCCCAACAAGCAGAGTTCCTCATGGCTCGCCAGCTCTTTTGGGAGAAATGATTCCCTTTACCATACTTTGCCCAGAAGTAGATGCTCAGTACATTTTTTTTTTTTTTTGGAAAACTCAAGTAAATGTGTGAAACCAATGGCATAATCAGGCTCCTGCATCTAAAATTCACAGTGACTGAATTTTATCAGAATTTCTCCTCTATCCTCAAACTTCCCATTACTCATTCCGCAGTACCAAACATCTCTCCTCAGCTCTTTTATTCTACTGGGAACCAAGGACACTGAGAAAGTGAGGAGGCTCCCAGGGTACACCCAAGTAAAGGTCCTGAGGGCAAAGCCCCAAGAGCTAAGACTCTCTCTGCTTCTCAAGCTCACCTGCCGGAGGCTTCTGAGCCTGCCTATTCCCTAGGCTTCACTAATAGAGTGGTGTTCCCACTTGCCTACCTCTGAGAAAAGCCAGAGTGTTAATTAACACCTGCGTCATGCTTTGAAGATAAAATTATTTAGAGAGACGGGGGAGGAAGACAAACAAAACCCAATCTTCCTTGCTGGATTATGTCTGGGATCCATCTGGATGTCTGGAGAAAGCCCACAAATCACAGTTGTCTTTTTCCTCTAAACCTCAGTGGAACCAAATCTCCCAAAGGCCTCCTTCCTGGCATCCTTACCCCCACAGCAGTCACTGAAGGCCACTGTACCCCTGGGACTCTGTATATCTTCCTAAGGGGCCAACACCACTGGCCAGCACTAGGCTGAAGGACAACAGTGGTCACTACCCCTTATTCTGCATGTCCCTTTTGCAGCGCTGAGCCAAGGAGGCTCCACATCCAGGCTGACGTCCAACCGTGGAAGGGATTCAGACCTACAGGGGCCCAGATATAATGTCTTCTCTGCTCAGTCTATTTTTAAAGATGTAAAATCAGGTTAAATAGAACATTATAGAAATACTTGAATATGGAAGTGAGAATTAATTTCCTCAGCTTTGCCTCGGAGTTGGCCTGGCCATAACAGGAGATGAGAAAGGAAGATACGTGACCCCTTGAATCCACAGCCCCTTCATCTCACCCTGGGGATACTCTAGGAGTGGGTAAGGTGAGTAGACAAAACAAAAGCCCATGGGAGACCAATGATGTTGGGTGTTGAAGTATTAAAGGTGGTAGAAAGAGCCAAGTAGCCCTCTTTCCTGTACTTTCCTGTACCCTGTTCCACTCTCAGGAAGAACAGCATTTCCAGGTAAGGAAGGGGTGGTAGGTCAGGGTAAGGAACAGGAAAGGCAGGCAGGGGAAACGAGCGGGAGGCTTGCTCCAGGCCAGCCACTTCTGAAGTCCACACTTTAGCTGCCCAGTGGGGAGCACTAGAAGCACTGGCCCCTTCAGTCTTAGACAAACACTGAGGGAAGCAAAGGAAACAACGAGCCTGGCTGCCAAACCGGGTTTATAGAGCAGCCACAGAGCCTGTTTTCTTATACATGCAGCCGGCTTCTAAATTATGCATTTCCCCAGAGTAGAATTATTTCTTCTCTCACTTCTCTTCTGTAGGAAACCAAAAAAAAAAAGTTCACAGGCAGGGGTTTCTGGTTATGCTCAGCTTCTAATCTGAATCCCAAAACTTATTCAAAGCTACCTTCTGAGCAATAAGCATTTACAGTCTGTATTAAATGTATGTCACATACAAATACATACCCATGCACACACATTCATTGCACACCACACCGCTGAACTTAAAAAGACAAGTGAAAAATTGACATGTAAGCAATATCCAGGTTTCTTGGTACTAGAAAAACCCTGGAGAGCCTAGATAGCAGGTATTAGTCTTTGCTGCTCCAGTTACTCTGTCTTCCTGCTCTTTCACAGGACTTTACAAGCATCTAAAAACTTTTTCTTTTCCTTCCCCAAAAAGGAAAAGAAAAAGTGGCTTGATGAAATATGGATCTTGTTCAACTGGTACAAGGCAAACAAGAAGGAACGAGAGGGGACGACTTGAAAGCAAGATGAAGCAGGATCAAGAGAGGGTCCTTGTGCCTGAAAAGGAAGAAGAGAGCAGGCTGAGTGAGAGAAAAAAGATGAGAGCTAGAGACCAAAAAATAATCACCTGTTACTGTCTTCGTCCCTCCCGTGGGAAAATTTTTAAACACTGCTTTTTTGAATTGGCTCATAGGAAGAAAGACAAAATAGATTTTAAAAAAATTTTAAGAAAGAAATGAAGGGCCTGGGGCTGCGAACTCTATCACCTTTTAACTTTTGGAGCTTGGTACTTGTTAATGGGGCTACAGGCTCTATGGGGCTTCATAAGTCCAACTCGCTGAATATATTGTGAAGTCCGAATTGATTTCCAATAATAATCAAATGAGCTCAATATTTAAAAGCCTCAGGGCACGTGTACAAATTAAACACCATTTTAAGTGAAGTGATAATCCATCATCATAGAAATTAAAGGAAGATTTGCTACCACTCCCAGCTGCCTTCCACTGATCAGCATGTTAAGAAAAGATGTGAACTATCATAATGAAAACCAAAGACCTTAGGTACACCACTCTGAGAGAAAATGCATAGGGAAGACACAACAAACTTGACTGGCCAACCTGACAAACAGAACTGCTTCACAAGGAGCCACAGGACTGCAGCTGGGACTCAAAAGAGAACCTTCTGAGTGTTCCCAGGATGAAGGGGTTAAGACATATGAATTCTTCAGGTAAGCTAAAGGAACTCAGTGAATAACGTGGGAAGCAAGGCTGCACTGCCACGCACACAACCACAGAAAATGAGAAGGTGGAACTCACGAGGGGAAGTAACACCTTCATCCGCAGGATAGGACCATCTCTAGGTGGGCCTCTGTGTTGTTGTTTTGTGGGGTGTTCTGGTAAAGGGTAGGCAAAGAGTGCCTGGAAAAGAAAGAAGTAGGCTCTGGAATCACAAACCAGTTCTACTTCTTCCTAGCTGAGTGATTGAGGGCAAGTTTTTTAACCACTCTGACCCTCAGCTTCCCCAACTCTAACAATACGAACCTACACAGGGTTATGAGGATTAAATGAGATAATGTCAGCGCACACAGTACTGGCACACAGCCCAGGCAGGCCCCTAAGCCTCCTTTCCCCCTTAAATCCACCCTCTGCATTTCGGCCAGCACTGTCTATTTAAAAAGCAGATTTGACCATGTCGTCACTCTCACGGCCTTCAGAAAGGCAACACAGGGTAGCAGTTAAGAAGACAAGTTCCGGAACCAGACTCCGGGATTTCAAATTCCAGCTCTGCCATTTGCTAGCTGTGTGACCTTGGACAAGTCACTTAACTTCCATGGATCTCGCTTCCCTCATCAAAAAATAGGAATAGTATCTTCCTCATAGGACCTTGTGCAGATTAACTAAGTTAAAATGTAAAGTATTCAGCATATATGCGTCTGGCACGTAGTAAGTATATAATAAATTCTAAGTGTGTTACTGTTGGTATTACCATCTACCACTGACACTCAAAAATGGCTTCAGACTCATCTCTACCATGTTGAACTGACAACCAAACAGAACTCAGATCTGGCAACCAAACTCTTTGTAGTCCCTCCTAACACACCACACTTGCATTTCACCCTTGCTAGCTTTCGTTGATGCCATTCCCTCAGCCTGACATACCCTTCCCACAACTGCTCACCTGGCCCTTACTTGTCTATTAAGTCGTAGGCTCAAATGTCACCTCAGCACTGGGCTTACTGGCCCCTTCTCCTGTGCTCACCTCTATCTTAACACTTACCCTATTAAAATTGAAATTATCCTTTTCTGCCTCAACTAGAGGTAAACTCCAAGAGCAGGGACCATGTCTTAGTCATTTAGTCACACCCCCAGAACTCTGCAGCGCAGGGCACACAGTAGGCAGAGGCTGTCACTGACGTGAGCTCCTCCTGCTTTGCATTGGGCTGCTGACTAGATTGATCTACCTACTGTGAGGGTAACGGATGTGACTGAGCACCCCCTGCCCGCTTCTCCATCCAAGTAATGAGGCAGATGGCAAAGTTACTCTGGGTCCCCAGGCCCCATAAAACCCTATTCTCCCCTGACATTCCCCACTCAGATCCTGTGCTGAAATGCCCAGAATTGTGGTTCTTCCGGGCTATAGGTGAATTTTCAAGTCCTGAGTGTTAATTAAAGGACTGCCATTGGTATCCAAGCCCATTCTTTGCATTTGTGGGATCTAGGTTTTACATATATATCTGCCTGTTTTCCAAAGTTTCCATCTTTTACTTACTGTAGAAACTCTCAGAAAGCCCGAAGAGGGCTTTATGCTAGCTTTACGGACAGGAGAGTAGGAGCTGGACCAAGGAGCCCTGGTCTGTTTCACTGTGGATAAGGAAAGACAGAAGACCTGCTTGGAGGCAAAAAATAGGTGGTGAAAGTGGGAAGGGAACAGACAAGCCATTTCTGGAACTGGGAGAGAGAATAAAGA